GTTATAATCATAATACATACACTGAATTTTTAGTTAAACATTTTTATGCACTGATTATTTATCAAATTAGTTATACTAATTCCGGAAGAATGTTGTGGTCACAGTACAAATCCACGAACGCAAAGACTAACATGCTTGAAATAAAGTTCATTTTTCTTTATTTTTATTGAATGACAGAATTAGTAATATACATAATAATACAAATAAAACTGCACTCTTAAAAGTCTTATTCTCCTAAGTTACGGTCCATTTCAGTTTGTTTTGACTGTACAGATTTAGTGTGACTGTAATTTACGTAGTTTTAATTATTCTTGGGATAAAAAATTACAATTATATAAACGATTCTGAACAAACTACTTTCTGAAAGTGCGTTAATTATAATGATTTCTTATATTTACGCGAACATTACACATTAAAATAATACTAGTTTTTACGGAATTTATCGCGTATATTTTAACTTTTTAAATACCCGACGTTTCGAACGCTTTACAGCACTCATGGTCACGGGCAGGACTGAGATGTTCAACGTCCATATGTCATAGTTAACCGCGGTTACCATATACCATATAAAATTTTAATCTATGGTAACCGCGGTTAACTATTACATATGGACGTTGAACATCTCAGTCCTGCCCGTGACCATGAGTGCTGTAAAGCGTTCGAAACGTCGGGTATTTCAAAAGTTAAAATATACACGATAAATTCCGTAAAAACTAGTATTATTTCAATGCGTTAATTATGTTACGTGTTGTATATACAATTATTGTTTGTTAAAGACAAAAATAAGCTACAAATATAATTAACTCTGACTTAGTAAAACTAGTTATAACTTAGAACATAAATGAAAAACTCATGACAAGGAAAGTGGCTCGGGATCGTCCTTTGGGGCAGTCTGTGGAGGACGATGTTCAGTAGTGGACTTGTAGCGCTGTAACGATGATGATGATTCGAAAACTTGTTATAAGAAATCGATGTGCTTCATTTTTTTTTCATAATTTGCTATAAATTATTTTTTAGTTTTAAAAGAAAGATTAAACTAATTAAAAGTAAAACACGTTAAGGTAAGTAGTAACGTTAAAATAAAATAATTGTTGTCATCTGCATTACTACGAATTCCATGCTTGTGACATGCATGATTCAAAATAAAAAGTTGTTGCGAGTTCATTACTGTGCCTCTAAAATTTTCCAACAATAGGTACACCTTCCAAAAACTTATAAGGTACAACCCTATGCTATGCTGTCATTAGATACACAAAAGGACGACATTCTGTGCAGGATGGCTGGAATTTAAGCCATAAGCCATAACACTACCTCTATACTCCATGCATAACACCTTTTTTGCTCAACGTCGTTTTTAAAATTGTTCTCATAATGATATGATTGTAACAAATAAATGTCCATTACATTTTTGGAATTTTTTTTAAAATAGTTTATCGATTAAAATAAATGTTTTAAAATATTGTAAGTAAATAGAAATAAAATATTGTTAGTAAATTACTAAAACATAAATAGCTAAAATATAGTAAGTAGCAGAAATTGTTAAAGTTGAGATCGGCGCTTAAAGGCTGGTAATAAAGGCATCCACCCTACCTTCAGCTTTTAATTATTAATTTTGGTTCGATCTACGTAAGTATATTCTAGTAGGGAATTAAAAATAAGTAAAATTAAACTGATTTTATTCAATCATTATGCGAACGAAGTTGTCAATTTGTTTTTAAAGAACTTCTTTCCAGCGCGAGGCGTACAATAATGAGGGCTAATAATTTACCTCTCACTAGATGTCGCTAGCTGGTGCTGACTTTAAGTGGTTTATTACACAGTGTCGCTATAAGTGAAAAGATGCAATACAAATAAATGATTTCGGATTCTAGAAACTTACTCGAATATACACAAAGAAATGCCTCATGGGTTGTTGTTTAATTTCTTGCACAATATTTTTAACTCACTTTTTAATTCTTCTACTTTTAGGTACATATATTTATATTTTGGTTTATCCATTCTGATTTAATTAATTTAAAATATAGCTAATATTTCAGAAAGAAACATTAACTTTTATATTTTTCTAATAATTGAAGTTCCCGTCCATGAATTCTTTCAAATATTTCAACTCGTTCCAAAGTGGCGTGGCCATCGTGGTGGAAAAAGTAGTCGATTTGATGCATTAAAACATTTTGTTCATATGCAGTAATTTATTTAAGTATTAATTTAATTAGTATAATTTAGTAAAAGTTATTTAACAATCCCAAGTTTTTATTTCGTTCATATTTATTAGTTTGTTTTTTATATGAGAGGAGGTGAACAAGTACACGGCTCATCTGATGGTAAGTGATTACCGCCGTCCGTGATCAACTACAACACCAACGGAATTGCAGATGCTTTGCCGGCCGGTAAGTGGCGTTGTTATCAAGATTCAGAAGTTAGCCGTCCGAAGCCGGGGCGCATCGCTATATTTTATATATTTTACGATGCTACGTGGTTACTATAGCCCATAAACACACCAAGCCAGTTTATAGAAGGGTACAAATGCTTTGTCAAATTTGGATGACGTTTTCCGTTAGGTAGTTTTTTTATAGGATAAGGGTGACAAACGATCATACAGTCCACCTGATGGTAAGTGGATGCGATGGCCCACAGACATCTACATACGATTAAGAATCAAAATGCAGATGCGTTGTCACCCCTGAGGACTAAGATGGAATGCCTTAATCCCATTAAAAAGGGTCTCCGGTTTTCTACACTCACCATATGAAACACAGCATTAAGCTGCTATATTACGCTGGTATTCTGTGAGAGCGTGGTTCTTCCCCGGTCGAGCCGACCCATTCATGCTACAACCATAATATAGCTGCAGCATGGCACTACCACGTAAAAACTTGAAATATGGACTCTGTTTTATAAAAGTTAGGGTGCACTTAATAGTAAGTGGATAATTATTATGGCTCATAGAAACCTACATTTTTTATATAATAAGGGTGACAAACGAGCATTCAGCTTCAGATTGTAAGTGGATGCTGTGGCCTATAGACATCTGCTATACCCTCAATTAAGAATCAAAATGCAGATGCGTTGCCATCCCTGGGGACTGTGATGGAATGCTTAGTTTCCAGTAAAAAGGATCTCCAGTTCCTTACACTCACCATATACAGCAGCTTTAAGTTGCTATTTTACGCTGGTGTTATGTGAGAGCGTGGTCCTACCCCAGTCGAGCTGACCCATTTGGGCTTCAACCATAATATATCTGTAGCATGGCTCTACTATGTAAATATATACATCTGTCCATTCAGAATCAAAATTTAGATGCGTCGCCACCCCTAAAACCTTAAAATGCCTCGATTATTATTAACCGACAATTTTTTATTTACTCTACCGCCGGGTCGCAAAATACTTCGACCTGGGAACAACCAGCGAAAAACCCAGTAAGATTATTTTTTACAAAAGTTTGTATAACTACTTCATGTATAAATACTTATTTTACTGAAAACCAATGCTACCGCAAGCGTGCATTATGTTGAGTCAGTGCCCATTTCAGCTTCACGTCACTCATACAATCGGATCATTTTATATCTATTTTCTCTTATTTATCCTTATCTTTGATGTTTTCACGTATAATTTTATTATCTGTATCAAAACTGTACGAGTGTAAACTGTTGAATAAATTCATGTCTATGCCTATGTCTACACTAGAATTTTGTACAATTATTATTAAAAATTACGATAGAACCAGCGTGGTAACAAACACCTCATTCCCAGGAGTTATTTTTATTCCCTTCATGCTTTCCACGGCACGGAGTGTAACAAAGCCAACGCATAAGAATATTGATTTGGCAGAAAGACCTGTTTACCAATTTTGGTCTAACTCGGGATTCATACCCGAGACCATAAGATCAGCAGTAGCACTTACGTATACTAGAGCAACAAGCGAGACAATTTTAAATATACAGGGTTATTTGCAATAACCAGATACATTTGCAGAGATCGTTCAGAGTAAGTAATATAGGCAAATGGTGAAAACAATTTTAAAAAAATCATTCTGTCCTTTTAATCTTTTAAATTTAAAATGATTTTACTGCACACATTCGTAAGGGTCGATCGGTAGGTATTTACTTGTATTTTCAAAAACTGCAATGACGGTATATCATGATTTATATATTTCAACTTTAGTTTATAATTTGGTTAATCTTTGAAGAACAACCCTGTATATATACACTAACCCTTCTGTATATATATAGTATATATACTAACCGCCGAATCACCATCGAAATCGTGCAATAGTTGGAAACCGATTTAGCCATTCAGTTAGTGCACTACCAATACCTCGACCTTATTATCAGTACCTAGAAGGGCTCGCCGGTTCTCTTACTAGGGGTTCCGAAACACAAGACTTCTGTATGAAATATTAGTTACGATACAAATACAAGTAAATGGATTAATGCTATTCTAATATCATATTTTTTTAAATACGACGTACACCAGACATGCAATGTCACTAACACGCCCAACAATACGCTTTCTCTATATGACATCTAAAGCAACTAATGACGACGAACAACTTACAACAATTATGGTGACGGTGATGGCCGTAGAGACAGCGGCGCAAGCGCAGCCCTGCCGTATCTGCCGTCTCCTCGAAAGCCTTAAAAACTCCTCCGTTCTCGCGTCAATTGTCCTGTACAAACCAAACTGTCTAACTCGCGAGCTGGTGCTCGAAACAGATTGGTCACTTGTCATCCTGCTATATCATATAACTAGCCGAAGGAGTGCCCCTTTGTTTGTTTGTTTGTTTCACAAGCACGCGTATCGTGTGCGTCCGAACTGAAAAATGCGTTGGATTCTTATGCGCCGACTGCAATGTTTTTCTTTGAGATTGTTTTTACGTTCGGTGTAGTGATGGGATAACTACTTTCGTTTCACTGTCGATAAACTAATTGTTATTTCCTCGGTATGCTAATAAGGTATTGATATTGTACATTAATTCCTATTTATGCTGCTTACATACTTACTATTTGGCTACCCCAAAGGGAAGGCTTTGAGACAGCTACCTTAGGCTTGGACAGTTTTAAAGTGTTGGGGTATATTTTATTTGTATTTATCTCTGGAATGCCATAGGCCATATTTTACTTTATTAATCTAATACGGCATTGTATAAACCAATATTGCGCTTGATTGAATTTGAAAACAACCTGGCGATGGTGTCAATTCATTATTTAGTATAACGGACTGCAGTATTTTTGTGTTATGACATTTGATTATAAGACAATAGTGTAACTATCTCTTTTTCATACGCGGTCAATTCGTGAATGTGTGGACTTGACCGGGAAAGGACCACGCTCTCACAGAATTCCAGCGTAATATAGCAGCTAATGCTGCTGTTTCATGTGGTGAGTGTAGTAACTAGATATTCTTTGCACGGGACGTCAACTCATCTACATTTTAATTCTTAATTTAGGGTAGGTGTAGATGTATATGGACCACAGCATACACTTACCATCAGGTGAACTGTGTGGTCGTTTGACAATTTTAGTGTGTAAAAAACTATAAAAGCGTTAAGTATACGTGTTATAATTTAGCTTCGCTGTTAAAATGCAGTATGGATTGGTTTCGATATCGATACGTGCATGTGTAACGTAGTGTACAACGCTCAAGGCAGTGAAGCGCGGAGATAGCTTGCCCCGCACAAAACGCTCGCACTCGAGAGAGAAACGTTTTAATATGTTCATCAGCATTCAAAACTGTATTCGATGTGTCCGTAAGTTTCTAGTAAAGATATTTAATCTTTCTTTTTATTATTTTTGGAAAATTTAAATCGATCATTCATTCATTCATTATAACCTGTAAAACGACCCCTAATGAACTTACCTATCATCCTCATAGATTCCCAGGGGGTGGATATTAAACCCTTCGTGGTACAGTACTAGGATTTAATTCCCCAATGTCCAGACTTTGCAGACTTTTAAATACTTATAATTATGTAGTAGATATTCACCACGACTCTTTTTACGTTTTTTGGCACAAAGTTTAACAAAATAATAATATTTTTTGTAGTATTTTTTTGTATTAATAAATTTTTTCGATTTCATATTGTATAGTTTTAGCTTTTTGGTAACGGTTTGTAGGAAATGCTGTGAGCACTAAGCACGCGGTTTAGCTTTTATTGAATGTTCACTTGGTTTATATTACTTTCTTAGAATTAAGCATATATTAGTGTACGTACTCGTATTAATGTAACATTTGTTGGTGAACCAAATAAATAAACAATAAATAAAGTAAAATACACAACCACAGTTATTGATTGTTTTGAGTTCTTGTCAGGAAGATTTTGCTGCTCATCTTCCGCCTCATTTCCCTCTGTCTCCTCTTACGACTCCTACTGTTCTTTTACGCGGCTACTAAGAGCAAATCTATTACTAATGATGGATCTTCTTATACCTTTCTAACACCACGATGCTACCAACTTCATCTATAAATAGCGCAGTGAAATCCGGCGGATATTACGAATGAATCTATATGAGTTCACGACAAATTGTGTTACACTGTTTGCTCACAAAATGGCCCTTTCTCTATAATTCACGTAGCTTTGAATGAAGATGGTAATTATGTAACATATTTAAAGTTCTTTTTTACATATTGAATAAAACTAAATTTACGGATTTTATCGCGTTTATTTCACTACTTTTACTTATTTTTAATTCCGGGAATTAAAGTCGGGAATTAAAAATAAGTAAAAATAAGTAAAAGTAGTGAAATAAACGCGATAAAATCCGTAAATTTAGTTTTATTCAATGTGTAGTGTTCGCGTAAATTTAAGAAATCATTATTCTTTTTTACATATTATCACCAGTTGTCGGCAAATAATGACGTAAAGTAGTTGCATCTTAATATTTTGTATTGGTATTTTAGCTTTTTCGTTTGTATAGTTCTGTCATCCCGTCAAGTTTAGTAAGTAATATTTCCAGTAAAAGAAATGACATACGTCAAAATCTCAATTCTAAAATTTATGTTTGTATTTGAGTAATGGTTTAATCAAATAATTATATATTTAAATAATTTGACGGCTTGATCAAAGAATTACGCTGCTGAGGGCAGCAGATTCTAATCCCACGCTAAAAGGTATTCGTATGGCCTACAAATAATTTTCTCGGGTCTTGATGTTTGTACTTGCGCAATTTATATATGTAAGGCTGGCTACATATATTCGGAATTCCAAACGTATGTTCATAATGTCTTCATACAATGATGATTTCTTAAATTTACGCGAACAGTACACATTGAATAACACTATTATTTACGGATTTTATCGCGTTTAATTACTTTAATTTATTTTTATTATTATCCCGACGTTTCGGGTGCTTTACACCACCATGGGTGCTGTAAAGCACTCGAAACGTCGGGTATACAAATAAATTAAAGTAATTAAACGCGATAAAATCCGTAAATAATAGTTTTATTCAATGTCTTCATACATTCGGAATCCCGTTATTCCCGCAAAATTTCTAACAGAAAACTATTGTACGTGTGTGACGGTGCGTGACCATCGGCCTCCCCCTCATAGGGGGGATATTTATCACAGTTGCCATGCTTGTCAAACTAATTAGCAACTGCAGTTTTAATTTTTAGTCGTTATTAGAAGATGCTGCTGTTCATCTCCTGATTTGTTTTTCTCTTTCACCTCTCACGTCAGAAAGACAGATTGTAGGTGTCTAAACGTCACATTATTCGTTGAATATCAGGTGCATTGTGTAATCCTTTGTCAATTTAACTTGTATAAAAACTTTGTGGTATAGTTACAGCGGTAACTGGGTGGTAGGACTCCTTTTATAGCCAGGAGCCTGTTTGGGTGGACGTAATGACGTCCAATAATAGTGTATGCACTGCTATTGGACGTCATTCATTTCTATACACTGAAGGGTCTAGAAAGCCAGAATAAATACAGGCTATAAGGCATTTCATCTCAGATATCAGAGGTACAGGATATCTGTAGCATCCTTAGTTGAAACTTACCATCAGGTGGAGTGTAACTTTCTTTGTCTGTTTTGTTTTATATTATTGTTTATTTATTTTAGGTCGTTTAAATCATTCTTTACATGTTGTGCAAAATAAAACCTGCAGGAGTTTTCTTCCGCGTACAACCTCTTTCTGGAATAATTTACCACCGGTGATTTTTCCGGACCGATACGACCTGGGGACCTTCAAGAAAAGAGCTTACTCCTTTCTAAAGGGCCGGCAACGCACCTGCAATTCCCCCTGGTGTTGCGGTTGATCATGGGCGGCGGTAGTCACTTAACATCAGGTGAGCCACATGCTCGTTTGCCCCCTCTTCTTTAAAAAAAAAAAACATGTTCCGCCACAACGAAGCACTAAAACTGTACGCTACTAAGTCATCTCTCTTTTTGCGATATTGGAATAATTTTTTTATGGTATGTGTTACTTCAAGTTTTAACTATTATGCGTGGTTCCAAATGCGGGCAACGAATCACGAATTTGAATTAATTGCGTTCTTGCGTGCTTACTATCCGCGTTAATGTCCGCGAAAGTGATTATAAATAAGACTTTTATCTTTTACGTAACTCTTTGTCGACGATGACTATGCACTATCAAATTCTAAATAAGTTAATTAAAATTAAGAGTCAACAAATTTTCCATAGGTTTATTTAAAAATTAAAAATAAATACATCTACCTCAGCTTACATTGAATCTGGTTAAGATTTATAACGGATTATTGTGAAAATAGTGAAGTTTACCGTGTAGTGGCAGTCCACCACCCATATACGGTAGAGCCATGCTGCAGCTATGTAACTAGACGAATGGGTCGGCTCGAACGGAGAAGGACCACGCTCTCACAGAATACCAGCGTAAAATAGCCGCTTAATACTGCGGTGTTTCGTATAGTGAGTGTAGAGAATCAGAGACGACTGTTACTAGAAACGAGGCATTCCATCTTAGTCCTCACGGGTGACAACGCGTCTGCATTTTGATTCGTAGTCGAGAATGAATGTAGACGTCTATGGGTCACAGTAATCACTTACCATCAGGTGGACTGTGTGCTCGCTTGTCACCAGATGCTATAAACAATACAAGTCCGTGGGTGTCAGGGCGACAGAGAGAAACAAACTAGGAGATGGGCAGCCACGTCTTCCTAATAATAAATAGAAAACAAAAATCTGCGTTCACCAAGCCTGCATACGTCGCAACTCTGGCAAATTTCCCACTTATGAGGCAATCTATGGGGAGACCAATAATCTGCAGTGGACTTTGGCTATAGGCTGTAATGATGACAGTGAAAGTAATTTTCATGGAAAAAATAGTGACCAGGAGAAGAAAACCGATAGCCTATAAATGGCAGGGTGCGGACTGTGAACTTAAAAGTACGTGGGTTCGAATGTCGCCATCCGACTAATGTCGTGAACCATTCCTTACACAAGCATTTTAAGTTAACCAGGAGTGGTTAAAGGGAATATTTGTATTATTAATAGTGTTGCTAGTATTTTATCAAAAAATGGTGACAAACGAGTACACAATCTATTTCAGGCTAAGCCAATGCAGCAGCACGTACACACATACTTTTTTAAAATTATGAATCGAAAATAGAAATAAACAATGTGTTGTCAACGAGACCTTAAAATCAGCATTCACCCTCACGATCACTATTTCAACGTATTGCTTCACTCTGACCTGTTCATAAGTGAATGTTTTGGTCCATAGACATTTATCTTCAATTAAGAATTAAAATGTGGATGTGTCATCACCCCTGCACACTAAGATGGAACGCCTCGTTATCAGTCAAATGAATTTCGGGTTCTCATCACTTACCGTACGAAACATAGAAGCTTTATTCTGCATTTTTCCGCTGGTATTCTGTGCGAGCAAAGTCTTTTACCGCTTATCCAGTATAAATAAACAAAATCGGTTCACGACCTAGTGATTCCTTGTGTTTTTTGAACGTGAGTGGCGCGTACGGTGTTTGATGTACATATACTTTACCTTATTTTAATAAATATTAATATTAATAACGTCCGCCAGACAGAATTTCGGCCACGGCGGCCTGCCTCAACGGAGGTTAGCCATCGGCGCGGGACAGGATTATAGTGCCCAAGTTTATGCGCAAGCAAAGGTGCACTCTCTATTCCCTCATTCTCTGGAAGACTGGAAAGAGATCAGGCACAGGACTAACGGGTTTACGTGATTTCCGAGGCAGGGGGTGAGTATACATATATATATATATATATACAAGAAAACTTTATTTAATAATCCACCGTTTTTAATTATAAAAAAAAACTTTAAAGAACCAAATTGTGTAAATTGTACATCATAAAAGTTTAATTTTTATATTTAAAAAGAAAAGTAAAGTAAAAGCTTTCAAGGGAGACTATTAAATTATGAGTTAATAGTAAAAGCACTCATGACATTCATAACGCGTTCTGCGTTGGTTGGGCATATTCAGAATGAGGTTTTCAATGTACCTACTGTTGAGGAAAATTGACCCAGGTCCTACTGAGGTGCATAAAAAATTCTTCTGAAACTAGATTTTCAGGAAAATTCCTCAAAAGCTCTTCGGAGCATATCCAAAGCATGATGAACGAGTTTTAAATCTGGGATTGCACAGATCATTCTAGAGTCGTGACATCACGTTCGTGCAACCAGGCCGTTACCACTCTAGCCGTATTGAATGGGTATTGTTTTCAACGTGGCTAGGCTATTGGTTCTAGCACGGTATTTCTTAGTCGTCATAGTTCCTTCTTTTTTTTTGCCTTCGGGCAGCTACTGAATTTCTTGATTTTTTGGACCCGGGATTCGAACCCAAGACCTCATGATTGGTCGCACTACTACAACCACTAGACCAACGAGGCTGCCGTTATAGTGCCCTGTATGCAAACGAGGTCCGTTCTTCCTCCAAAACAAATTCCTACCCACAACATAACTGTAACTTGGTATGGATGAACTTCTTGTGGGTGTTGACGCCGGCTTGTACGACCAGAAACTCTCCAGACACGTATTCTCCTCGATTCAGGAAGAAACCCAAATCATCATTAGGATTCATCGGTGAAAAGCAACAAGGACCATGGATGAGGTTCCCAGTTCATATGTTCCCGAAAGTAAAGAGGCCAGTACTATTTTTGGTTAGTTAATGTTATTAACAAAGTTAAAAAAATCCCTATATATACCAAGTTGATGTGTTCACTTTTATAAATGCCCTTTGTATATTTTTTGTATGTCTTAATAAATAAATAGAAAATACCATACTGTGCTGTGTAATCACCGATCATCTCTAAGCAGTAACTGATCTGTGAGACTGTATTTTTTTAACTGTGGTGGTAAACGAACTTACAGTCCCTCTGGTGCTACGTGCCTACTGCAACCAATGGATATCTGCAACTAACTTCACGCAAATAAAGCTATAGATGCGTTGTCCCCTCTGAGGACTAACATGCAATGCCTCACTGCCCGAAATTTTACTGGCTCATGATACCCTTTAGACTGGAACACGGCAATACAAATATAGCTATTTGGCGGCAGCAAGCTAAGAGGGTTGTATTTATAGAAAAAAGGGCTTTGCTCGGAGTATCCATTAGTACAGTACAGTACAGTATATCCACAGTAGAACCAGAGCAAACAAAGTGGCGATGGGCCAGCCATATAGCAGAACACTCGCAGAACCGAAGCCGGGAAAAAATAGGAAATACTCAATGAAAATACTGGTACTTGGCGGCAAACCTCACCTACTCTAGACCAGGTAGAAAAGGGGCCATGATACCTAGCTTTATAACTTTTTCTCTTTACACTAAACTTTTTATTATTATTAAACTTTAGTAGCGACCTTAACACCTTGAGCTGTTAAGATCATTTTTATATAATTGTAGTCTTTAGAAACACATTGTGATTTTATTTTTAAGCTTTGTTTGTTAGCTGAACAAGAATATTCTATAATATATTGCGTTTCAAATCATACGTACTTCAGGTTTCTGCAAAACTCTAAGAGATATTACTCGCTCCCAATTTTTGGTCCTCTGGTCTTTCTGATCCGTCAAAAAACAAAATAATGTTATATTTATAAATAAAAATATTTTTTTGAATATTTAGGCAAACGTTCAATTTTTACCGTGATTAGAGTTCCTACATTACAGATAGGGTTGCCATCCGTACTTGATAATAAACTATTGTATCTACGTTATTTTAGACAATACTGTATGAGAAAAAAAGTAAGTAAAATACTTTATTTTACCTGTTTTAACGTTTTTTAAGGTTTTTTTTAAATGTTTACTAAAAGAACGAATTATATACAGGAAAAATATTTTACTATTTAATAATGATTTTGTAAATTTTTGTACAAAATTACAAAATTTTGTAATTGGCAATGTCTACTATACATTGCCGTCACTTTAGCGTTATTAACAGTTCATCATTTGATGAATGCTAGGTGATACAGAGTATAATCCTAACTTAGAGATAGAATGTAAAGATATTGTATGTATGAAATAGCATATCAAATAACTACTTACTAATAATTACTGACGTAACTACTACTTCATTTTCACTGGTCAGTCTTTATTTTTTAGCTTAGAAAAATATATATAATTTATTTACTCAAAGAAGGTGGCAACCCTAACTACGGAGTCTGTAGCTTGCTTGTGTATTATACTCGAAAGCTTTTATTCCTGAAATAAAGATATTGCATTGTATTATATTGTACTGAGGTTAGTTAATTTAAAAACACTGTTTATTTCAATATTTTATTTTTTTATTTAAAATATATCTTTACAATCTTAAAAATAAAATTAGTATAATATAGGCAGTGTCGATTGCTCGTCATTTTGAGTATTAACCTTTAACTATAATATTACATATTATGTAGGTATTAAAATCCTCACCATAATTTGTTTTCTTTTCTGATGATCAATTATATATATACATGTATTAGGTAAAGAAGCAGTAGACAATACTAAACCTAAGTTTTTTAGTTTAGCTAAGTGAATATTTACAGGACTATGTCCCTTAACATTTTCGCATTTGTTCAAGTGAGGAGGAATAGAACGAAATTTAACTGATATCACAAAAACAAACACTACCCTTGCAACTTCTAGAAAAGGAAAGAACTAAGTTTGGTATCACATTATGTATGGCATCTTAGAACGAAACGTTTTAGTCTAACCTAGAAAACGAATGGGATCTTCGGTCGGTCGTAGAAGTAACCCTGATCAGGTACAAATGGTGGCCTGGTGGTGTAGACAGGTTGTTGGGTTGTTGGTGGCGGGATGTATATGGGTTTTTTTGTGGAGAACGTAGGGACATAGGGTCTTCGCGTCGTAGTAGGTAGAGGGAAGGGAGTGGAGGGTTTGGGATAGATGTAACCTGGGGTTGGGCTTGTAGGTCTAGGGGTGGGTGGTGGCGGTGGCCGTCTCGTTGTCGGTCTTGTTGTAGGTGATGGTGGGGGTGGTCTGGTAGTGGGTGGAGGTGCAGGTCGTCGTGTTGTTGTTGGTAAAGTAAAAGGAATACTTGGTACGGGATAATTGTATCCAGTTGTTCTATAGTCGGGGATTATTGTGGAGTAAGTTGGAGGGCGCCGTGTCGTTGTTGGGGGTGGTGGTGGTGGTCGTCTTGTTGTTGGAGGTGGGGTGGTGGTGGTGGTGGTCGCCGTGTAGTTGGAGGTGGGGGTGGTGGTGGTCGCCGTGTGGTTGGGGGTGGGGGTGGTGGCGGCCTGCTGTTTGTTAAGGGAGGTAAATAGGTTGAGGGTGGCCGAGTTGTAGGTGGTGGTGGTGGCCTTGTCGTCGGTGGTGGTGGAGGAGGTGGTGGTCGTTTTGTTGTTGGGGGTGGTAGATATGTTGAAGGTGGCCTGGTTGTTGGAGGTGGTGGAGGTGGTGGTGGTCTTGTCGTTGGTGGCGGAAGGTATGTCGAGGGTGGTCTCGTGGTTGGCGGTAAGTAAGTTACAGGTCCAGGAGTTGTGGGAGGTGGTGGTGGTCGTGTCGGAAGAGTGAAAGGCTTTTTAGGAATGGGGTACTCGTAGCCCGTTGTTCTGCTAATATCGATCTGCGTGCTGTACGTAGGTGGTGGTGGGGGCCTTGTTGGAGGTGGTGTTGGTGGTGGTGGAGGCCTTGTTGGAGGTGGGGGTGGTCTGGTTGGTGGCGGGGGTGGCGGCGGTGGAGGCCTCGACGGCGGTGGTGGTGGTGGCGGTGGAGGGAAAGGTATCTTCGGCTTCGGATAGAAATACCCATCCTCATTCAGATTGGCCTCAATTGGAGCACCCAGCACCGCGTAGTTCTGGTTGTAGAAGCTCGAGACATCTCGTTCTGAGCGGTCTGCCTTGCACGTGTGGTAGACTGCAAGCAGGACCACTGCAATATGCAGTGACAGCCTCTGCAACCAATAAAAGTGATTGGTTAGTCACACAACTTATATTGTTTGATGGTGGCTTCACCACGCACTCGGCGGTGAAGGAAAACATTGTGAGGAAATCTGCATGTCTGAAAAATTAAAAAAATCATGAATTTTGAAGATATTTCACCCGCCAATGTGCATAAGGACAACGTCCTTCCTCGCGCTAAAATTTACATATACAATTTAACTTTTTATCATCCCTTTCCACTTTTATTGTTGCTGCAGTGCCTCTTCTATGTCTATCTTTGTTTACCCTAATCGCTGGCTGGTAGAGAATGCCCTATAGCATTAAGTCCGCCATATGTACTACTACTATGTACTATACGTACTACTTTGTGTATAGAAGTATAAATATATGAATAAATAAAACCCACTCAGAAATGAGAGGAGGCCTGTGGCCAGGAGTGGGACGCTAATAGACTGTATTTTTAATATTTTACGTTATGTTTGCGGCTTTATCATATATTGGCGTAAAAATTTTCACTATTCCCGTATTGTCCTGTGTTGACGTAAGGAACCAAGAATTCGGCAGTAGCGTCTCCCCATTACAGCTAGAAAAGAAAGAATCCGCATTTTCCTACTCGCTTGCCAAGCGTAGACTATATTCAACAGTCTATTTTGATAGGTTAATGATGATGTGATGATGATGATGTTGGCTAATGACAATCTTGTAACACTGTGTGTATGAAGCTGTTATAACCGAAGTTGTAGAGTCAAATAAAATCGGTACAAATGGTTCGGTCGGTATAGGGGAGAATTTAAAAAAAAAACAACGTACATCCAGCCTCAAAAATGTATCGGCTGGCAAATGTTTCTAAACCAACTTCGAAAAAAGGAGGTTCTCAATTAGACTGTATTTTTATGTGTGTTACCTCAGAACTTTATTAACGTAAACTGATTTTGACAATTCTTTTTTTATTTAAAACCTGGTGCTTCTCATGTTGTACCATATAAATTTGATCAAGATCTGACCAATAAGTTTCGAGTTATCCTTAATAATGCGTATTTAATTGTCTTCGACTACATAGACGATGTTCTCATTTTATTTATATTCATGTCGGTTGTGCAAAATTTTAATTTTTACCTCTTGTTTATTGTGTATTAGGCAATAATTCCAAACTTTAAATCGTAGTCATTGATTGCTGGATCTGTGCCATAAAAATGCCTTAAGGACACAGATTACCCCCTAATTATGGGGTGATCTGTGCTTAAAGATAAAAAATTCCTATGTCATATAAAAACATTGATGTACGTTAAAAAATATTTCAGCTCATCGCATTAAATTAATACGTCCATAGCTTGGTTTTAAAGAAATATAAATTATAAATACTTGTCCTACAACAAAAACAAGGTTTAATAAATTCCATTTCTTTTTCGATTAAATGATGAACGATTTATTCATAAATTGTGCGTGAAAAACATCGTTCGTCAATATATTCAAGTTCTTTAAACGCCTGGCCTTCTGGCAAGTATATTTAAAAGGTTAAAATAATTTTGCTATTAAAAAATTGCAGGCGTTACCTCCAAATTTAATTGCAAATACCTATTTTTAATAGGCCAGGGAGCAAATGAGCATGCATTTCAATGTTAAACCAACTAGTTAGCAGCACTAACATTACGGATAATAGGGGAATAACAGAGGTTTTCTTTTAAAAGGTCCTTTCTTTATTCCCTTCCATTGCATAAATATGTAATATATAACTTCTTGAGATACCTAATGGCATAATTTAACCTTTGGTTCACGCCCGAAATCAGTTTAACCTTGTTGTAGCATTGGCAGTGTGAGTAGGTATGTCAATTATGTAACGTTATTATCAAAATTTGAAGTTACATGAATCTATTGATTTAGTCACGAACGACAAAACGTATAAAGAAGCCCAAGGTATTCTAGCTGCGCTTCGTATTACGTTTGCTGCCTACGAGTAAGTATTTATGTTACCCTGTTCTTTAAGTGAACAACTCTTGTATGTATAAAATACCTAAACCTTAGCTCAACCTGTGAATAAGTTCACAAGTTTTCAAGTAGATCTTTTTTTAAATTCTATGTTCTGAGAAGCTATACCGACTACGTAGGACATGCAAGATAGATAAGTATTCGCGGACACGTGCGATCGTTCATCTATAACTACCCGTAGCCAATTTAAAACGTATTCGATATTGATACCTTGTTGGTCTCAAGAGCGACTGTTGATCATGTGGTCTCCAATTTGAATCCCAAGTAAATACAAAAATCGGTAGTAGTTATTTTTTTGTCTCGAAGTTCTCAGTTCTCAGTTTCTCAGCTTGGTGTCTTATCGCTCTTTAGCTTTATGTCAAAAGTTTTTTTGCTATTAATTTCTTTTATTTGTGCCTCGAAAAGCACGTAAAACCGTTAGTCCTGATCTAATCTCTCTACGGTCGTGTAGGACTGTGGTTCCATCCGACTATGAGAGCGAGTGAATAGAGAGTACACACGTGCTTCAGCACATACTCCATCACAATAATCCCGTCCTGCGCAGATGTCTAGTCTTCCTTAAAACTGATCGTCGTGATCAAAATTCGGTCTAAGGGTTGTTAGGTGTTATACGAGAAGAGTGGTAGTAGGCTAGAATGTGTATCAGAAAGATAGAAATAATCGCACTACAACCAACAGTACGATTTTAATGACTTTGCCACCTCTGAGCGTGGTTTCGCAAGTGGTACGTTTGACAGTAAATGCAAACTATGTCTCTTCGCAAGTCCAGTGATCAAGTCTTTTAAAAAGAATTCAGTCGTCGACGATTCGAGCAGTTCGATTTATTTCGGTCTTATGCGCTTATGCAATTAAAGTTGCTGCCAATTTGCATGCAATAGAATAATAAAAGTCACGTGGGCATTTGTGTATAGAATCGTGATAACCGGATGTTATTCTCATCGTTCTGGTATAATAAAAAGAATTACATGTATCACCTGACGCCCACATCGACATAACTTTGTCTTCAAATTATTGCACCACTAAGCATACCCTAATGTAGAATAAAGGTGACAAAGGAGTCCACTGTCCCCCCTCAGGGTAAGTAAGATGCTGGTGCCCTTAGACACCTACATCTCCGATTAAGAATCTAAATGTAGATGCGTTGTCACTCTTGAGGACTAAGATATAATGCTTCGTCACAAGTAAATAGGGTTTTCGGTTCTCTACACCCACCAACACGGCAGTATTAAGGTGCTATTTTACGCTGGTATTCTGCGAGGGCGTGGTCCTTTCCCGATCGAATCGCTATTCTTTATACTCGCCATTCGTTCTATAAGCATAATATAGAAATATTTTTTTAACAAGTTAATTTTTTCGACCATGTCACACTATGTAATTAATAATTTTTATTTATATACTTGGTGCTTTAAATACTATCAAGTGAAATGTTACCTCGTTTGTCGTTTTATATTGATTATAATTATTTTTTGTGTTATAAAGTAAACTTAAATTATTTTTTTAAAATAATGAGCGAAGAATCAATAGATTTGACTGCGTTATTGAAACATGATATGAATATAGTATTGTATTGATTAATTTGTGTTTGCATCTATGTACGCGAATATGTTCTTCTAGCCGATACCCGCTCGCTTCCGATCCCAATATTTTATTGCGGAACCTACATCTAAGTTCTAAGCTAACAAGAATTTTTTACTATCGTAAAATCCGTTCTTAGTAAGCGTCTACGTCTAGCGTCTGAGTAACTATACTAAGTTTCAAGTCAATCTGGTGTATAGTTTTAGAGATACCGTGATGAGTCAGTCAGTGGTATTTCGCTGATATAGATATAGATATGTTACTTGAAGGCTTCCGGTGAACCGTCTTAGTAGAAGAAAGAAGAAGAAGAGTGGAATCCGTGCTACCAGAATTAACCCACTGAAATTCAAAAAAAAAATTAAAATAAATATTTTTAATTATGAATACACTAACAAAATATGACAATAGCAATCAAAACTTTTTATTTTTATTTTTTTTTTCATAAGAAAAAACCTTACCTCTACACTAGTATTTTCTCCTGTATTGTGGGAGCAGTTTACACAAAAACAGTTTCACAAAAACAAATATCCAGACCCGACACAATTATTTGTAGGCCATACAAACAATGTTCCGTGCATTCCTAAGCCACTGCGCCATGGAGCCGTCTGTGTTAATCCACAACTCGTGGTGAGTTCAAGACCAAACAATAGCTAGTCAAATAATCAATTGTATTTGGACGTATCATTTTAGGCCAAAAATGTGCGGTAACCAATTATTATTATTATTATTATTATACTCTATCTTGGGGCCGGCCTTTACGCACAATTAGTACATACTGTTGCGCGCTATAGTTGATGCCTGGCACATGGCACTAGGGACATCTAGTATCGAGTGTTGCAACTTATCCTTCCAGAGAATTCCATACTGGAACTTTCTACACTTGGTCAGTCGTCCTATATATGGCCAGTAAGGACCGCTACCGAGGGGGTATTGAATTGCCAAATCGAGCGAATACTTTGAAGCGATATAACTGCGAACTGCGAACCCAATAGTTATATGCGGCTGCCTGATTCACGCCCGACAAGAGGCTGTTAAGCACTTTTGTCAAGCATGTGTTTGGATTTGTGATTTCTGTTTGGTGAGCTTGTTTGGATTTAACGTAATTAATTTTGAATCGCAAGCCGAAGTAAATGTATTTTTCTTAATTTCAGTTGCCTGACGAATGATCTTTAGTGGCAATCGGTGTCCTCTTGCGATGATTTGTCCATCAAGTCGAGGATTGGCGATTGTCATTTTGAAATATGTTCGCAAACTGCAAACTTCAGATAACCGACATATATGTCCACAGATTATATAAAATATGCTGTAAGCAAAACATTTTAAATATTAAAATTATTGCTATTGCCATGGGCAAAGTACACGAAATGTTCACTGTAAACATTTGTGCTATTTAGATATTTACGTAAAGTATTCCAATACTAATGAACCTAACCTAAATGTTGCGACAGAC